CCTCCCCGACATGTTCGTCTTCCGCAAAGCCCGCGCGGCCCTGCGTCTTCATGAGGCCAATCGCGCGTTCATCAAAGCTCGCGCTGACCGCCTTCGCGCCGAGATCCGCCGGGACACTCGCGCCATGCACGCAACGGGTACCGCGCTTCGCAAGGGCCCGCACCGAACAGGTCGCGGCTGAGCTGGCCTACGCCGCCGTCACCTCCAAACCCCTTCACGCCTGAACCGAGAGAACCCATGACTGATACCGAATTCGACCCTGCCTCCGACGTTCTGACAGCAGCAGCACAGGGGCGCCTGCGCTCCATCATCGAACGGCTGGAGCGGCTGGAGGAGGACAAAGACGCCATCCTCATCGACATGAAGGAGGTCTTCGCCGAGGCCAAGGGCGATGGCTACGACGTCAAAGTCCTCCGCAAGGTGCTGCGCCTGCGCAAGCAGGACCGCGCCAAGCGTCAGGAAGAGGAGGCTATCCTCGACCTCTACCTCGTCGCCCTGGGTGAGGTCTGATCATGGCCGGCTCCGTCAACAAGGTCATCCTCGTCGGCAATCTGGGCCGCGACCCGGAAATCCGCACGCTGAACAGCGGCGACCGTGTCGCCAACCTGCGCATCGCCACCTCCGAAAGCTGGCGCGACAAGGCGTCGGGCGAGCGCAAGGAAAAGACCGAATGGCACGCGGTCGTCGTGTTCAACGAGCACATCGTCAAGACCTGCGAGAACTACCTCAAGAAGGGTTCGACCATCTACGTCGAGGGCTCGCTCCAGACCCGGAAATACACGGACGCCCAGGGCGTCGAGAAATACTCGACGGAGATCGTCCTGCAGAAGTTCGGCGGCGTCCTGACCATGCTCGGCGGCAAGCCGCAGGGTGAAGGTGAGCGCAGCCAAGGCGACGACTATTCGTCCGGCTTTTCCGGCCCTGCCGGCAAATCGTCAGGTCACAGCGAAAGCTACGACCTGAACGACGACATTCCGTTCTGAGGGCGCGACCATGACCCAGACAGTCAACGTCGTGTCCTGCTTCGAGCGCGCGGGCGGTGGATACACGATCACGTTTAAGATCGGGACCACGCTCCTAACGGCCGCATCCGACCAGCCTGTGCAGCCCGGGACCGACGTGACTGTGCGTGACGGCAGGGTGATCGCATGACCGAGGACGTCCTGCAAAAGATGGTCGTGGTCGTAACACCGACCGAAGCAGAAGCCTTCTGGCTCAAGTGCGACCGAACCGGAGGCGCCGAAGCGTGCTGGCCTTATACTAAATCCCTAACCCCAAACGGCTACGGGCTTAGCAAGTACCCGCAGTATGGATCGAAGCGCGTCGAGAAGGCTCATCGGGTCGCGTTCCTGATAGCCAATGGATGGCTTCCCCAGGGGCGAACACGCGGCAGCCTGATAGTTCGCCACGCCTGCGACAACCGCCCCTGCTGCAATCCAGCGCACCTTTTGATCGGCACTCATCAGCAGAACAGCGACGACGCTTGCGAGCGCGGGCGCGCAGTATTGCCGCCCGTCTCGAAGCTCGATGCACACCCCAGGGCCAAGTTGAGCGTAACCGCCGCTAGGGAGGCTCGTTGCGCACACGCCCATGGGGCCTCCTGCGCCAGTCTGGCTCGGCGCTTTGCTGTCGGTGAAACGACCATGGGGCACCTCTTGGCCGGGAGAACGTGGCGGGAGATTAGTGATGCAGTCTGAAGATCAGTTGCAGATCACGGTCGCGCGGTTCCTCAAAATTGTCGCACCCGATCTCGTCTTTTACGCAGTCCCCAACGGTGGATTCCGCAATGTGCGCGAGGCCGCCAAGCTCAAGGCCATGGGCGTCACCGCCGGGGTCGCTGACCTCGCCGTTGTCCTGCCTGACCTGCGGGCTGCCTTCATCGAACTGAAGACCGCGACCGGCCCATGGTCAGGTCCGGCCAGAACTGGGGTTGGGTGGGTGGCAGTCCTCGACATCCAGACGCCTAGAGCGTTCCTCCCGCTTCTGCAGCCGGCCCGCTACAAGGGCGCCAAGGGCGGACGCGGCAGCGGCAAGAGCCATTTCTTCGGTGAGCTGGCGGTGGAAGAGGCGGTCACGTCTCACGTCCGCTTCGCCTGCCTTCGGGAGACGCAGACCTCGATCAAGGATTCGGTCAAGCAGCTGATCGAGGACAAGATCAGGAAGCTTGGCGTGTCGCACCTGTTTCGGATCACCGAGACGGAGATACGCGGGCCGAACGACAGCCTGTTCATCTTCAAGGGCCTTCAGAACCACACGGCGGCGTCGATCAAGTCGCTGGAGGGGTTCAACAGGGCGTGGGTCGAAGAGGCCCAGACGATCAGTCAACGGTCGCTGGACATCGCGACGCCGACGTTCCGCACGCCCGGCGCGGAGATGTGGTTCTCTTGGAACCCCAACCAGCCGACCGACCCTATCGAGCGTATGTTCTCGGACAACGAGGGCGACCCCGACTTCATCTGCGTTGAGGCCAACTATTCGGACAATCCGTGGTTTTGGGGCACGGCCCTGGCCAAGGACATGGAGCGCGACAAGCGCCGAGACCCTGACAAATACGCTCACGTCTGGGGTGGCGGCTATCAGACCAGCTCCGAAGCCCGCGTGTTCCGCAACTGGCAGGTCGAGGCGTTCGATACGCCCGCCGACGCTGTTTTCCGCTTCGGCGCAGACTGGGGCTTTGGCTCCGACCCCTCGGTTCTGGTGCGCGCCTTCCTCGATGGACGGACGCTCTACATCGACCAGTGCGTCAGCGAGGCGGGCGTTGAAACCGACTTCGTGCCGTTCCTCTTCGGTGGGACGGAAGACGACGACCTGAACCGCCGCAATGCGCAGGCCCTAAGGGCGCTGAGCGAGGCGCAGAAGGCGCGCTGGACCGGCATTCCCCAGGCCACGCGCTGGACCATCACCGCCGATAGCAGCCGACCGGAAATGGTCAGCTACATGCGGCGCCACGGATTCAAGATCATCTCGGCCATCAAGGGGCCGGGCTCTCTGGAAGACGGCATCGAGTTTCTGAAGAGCTTCGACATCGTGGTTCACCCGCGCTGCGAGGCGACGGTCGGGGCTGAACTGCTCCGCTATTCCTACAAGACCGACCCGCTGACCGGCGAGGTCCTTCCGCTCCTGGAAGACAAAGACAACCACACCATCGACGCCCTGCGCTACGCGCTGGAGGCCTTGCGCCGCGCTGGAAAGCCTGCGCCGCCCCCGCCGCCGAAGACGCGAGATCGCTGGGACCGTGAGAGAAGCACCTATTCGGCGGAGCCAATCTGTTCGAACACGTCGGGTATGACGAGGACGGCGAACCGCTGCCCTTTGAGATGATCACGCCTTGGATCGACAATCAGGGCGAACGCTTTTCGGTCAATGAGGTGGAGGTCAGGCTAGAGGCGGGCGTGGGCTCGCTGACGTTGGACCCTAAGATTAGCCTGTCCCGCACCGAGGACGGCGAGGAGTGGTCGGCGCCGCTCTATCGCGGCTTCGGCAAGCAAGGTGAGCGTCAGCGCCGGGTGCTGTTCACACGGCAAGGCCTGAGCCGGGGTTGCGCCTTCAAGATCCGCATCACCGACCCGGTCAAGCGGGTGATCTACGCCGCATATGCTGAGGTAGACTGATGGCCCTTCCCAAGCTTTCAGCGCAACAGCCCATCGTCACGCCAGACGGCAGGCCGACATCAAACTTCCTGCAGTTCATGGAAGAGGCGCGCAAAGGTCAGGCGGATGTCGATGAGGGTCAACAAGCCTTGATCGACGCCCTGGCCGCAGCCGTGGACGCCATTCAGCAGGCGCAGGCCGCCGCAGACGCCGCCGAGGCCGCTGCTCTTGCCGCGCAGGGGTCCGCCACGACGGCTTTGACCGCTGCGACCACAGCGCAGGGATCAGCCACCGCAGCCCTGGAGGCGGTCGTTACCATCAACACCGAGGTTTCCAACCTGAACGACCGCGTTACGGCCCTGGAAGCATGACGATGCGACGCACTCTTGATCCAACATTCTTAAACGAGGTCGCTAATCACCCCGCCGTCAGACCGGAGTTGCTAGGCACGGGGCCGATTGATCTGACGGCGGCGGTTTCCGACCCGCGCAACATCGCCCTGCAAGCCCAATACGGGGGATGGGTGCTGCACAACCATGGCGGGGGGGCCTATGAGGTCCACTCCATGTTCCTGCCCGAGGGTCGGGGCCGTGGGGTGCGCGAGGCGTTGGAAAAAGCGCTGGAATATGTGTTCACACACACCGATTGCACGCGCCTGCTCACGCGCCTGCCTAAGGGCAATGTCGCAGCCCGCGCCATCGGCCGGGTGGCCGGGTTCCGCACGTGGTTCGTGATGAATGGGGACGAATACGCCCGTATTGAAATCGAGGACTGGATACAGGCCAGCAAGGCGTGTCACGCGGCTGGCGCCTGGTTCCATGACCGTTTGGAGGCCGCCAAGATCGCAGCGGGATCCGAGCTGATTGTACATGAAGACGACACAAGCCACGACCACGCTGTGGGGGCGTCCGTACTGATGTGCCGAGCCGGGAACCCTATCAAGGGCGTGCAGGCCTACAACGCCTGGGCGGCCCTCGCCGGGTACGCGCCCATCGCCCTCATCTCTCTCAATCCCATGGTGATCGACGTGGTTGACGCCGTTCTCGAAGGCCCGAATATGGAGGTGCTTCTATGCCGGTAGGTGCAATGATCGGTAGCGCCGCTGCGGGACTCGGCGGCGCCGCTTTGTCGTCCAGCGCATCCAAAAGCGCAGCCAAGACGCAATCCGCCACCGCTGACCGCGCCGCGGAACTGCAGAACCAGCAGTTTGAAAAGCTGCTGCAGCTCCAGATGCCGGGTTATAATCGCGGCGAACAGGCGTCGTCCGTTTACATGCAAGCGCTCGGCATCCCCTCGATGACGAGCGGAAGCGGAACACCGGGAACCGCCGGGTCAGGCCTGATGACCGGCCCGAACTGGGCGCAATACGTGCGCGACAATCCTGATCTGCTGGCGGAATACGAGGGCGGCCGCTTCGGCGGCGGAATGTCCATGAGCGATGCCGGGAAGCAGCACTATCAGGAATACGGCAAGGACGAGGGTCGGGCCGCGCCCGCCGTGGCGACCGCGCAGCAGCAGCTTTCCGAGCAGGTAATGAACACGCCTGGCTATCAGGCCCAACTCGACCAAGGGATCAAGTCCATCGACCGCGCCGCGCCGCTGACCGGAGGCATGTATTCCGGCCGGCGCATGAAAGCGCTGAACGACTACGGCCAGAACACCTTCGGCTCCTACTATCAGGACTGGATGAATCGCGTCGGCGGTGTTGCGGGCCAGGGCCAGCAGGTGGCGCAAAACGTCGGCCGGGCTGGGATGCAGAACGCCCAGACTGTCGGCGGGCTGATGATGACCGGCGCCAACGCTCGGGCGCAAGGCTCGCTTAACAGCGCATCGGCCTGGTCTGGCGCGCTCGGCAACGCGTCGGGCACCGCCATGTACGGCGCTTCGCAAGGGTGGTTCGGCAAATGACGGTACCGTTTGACAGCTTCCAGCGCGGCATGACCGGAGGCTGGAACATGATGCAGGAGTTCGACAAGAACCGCACCGGCCGCGAGATCGGCGGCTTGATGTCGTCGGGCGACTACAAGGGCGCGGCGGCTCGCGCCTTCACTGGGGGCGATCTACGCACCGGCCAGGCTATCCAGACATACGACCAACAGCAGCAGGGCGTCCAGCGCGGCCAGAACATCGCCGGGGCGCTCAAGACGGGCGACTATGCAGCGGCGACCGGCTTTGCCTCCTCGCCCGAAGAACTGGAGGCAATCACCAAGTTCCGCGATGGCGCTTCCGAGGCGGAGCGGGCTCAAGCAGCGAATAGGGCGGGCCAGCTCGTGGCGGCCATCGAGTCTGTGCAGAGCCTTCCCCCGGAACAACGGCTAGCGGCGGCACAGGCGGCGGCGGCGCAGTTTGGTGCAGACCCCACGCAGATCACCGCCGAGCTCGCCGTCGTCGTC